AAGAGGATTCGGAACCCCAGCAATGACAGAAATGGGGCAAACTTCCCACACAGAACCCCCATGACCAACAGAAAATACTTAAGGCCATCCAATCCAACTCCCTTCACCAGGTCAAGAAAACGTAATCAAAGCCCCCCTGACAAAGAGTCATCCAACCATAGATATAGATAGATATGATTCACACACACACAGATATAGTATCATAGATTTGAAAGAGTCCCCTAAAGAAGGGCACTTATATGTTGCATGTTCCAGAGTAGACAAACCAGACAATCTCCACATCAACACTGACAAAGAAACAACAAGAAATACTGTTTACCCACAAGTATAAAGACATTCCATATATTAGAAACCATCACTTTGTCATTACTTTATTTTCCAGATCAGCAGACTGGGCCACAGCAATGCATGGCAGGGGACAGCTAGTAATAATATAAAAACCATAGAAACAATAAAAACTATATAAATCATATAAAACCTTCCATCATGTCCATCTCCTTCTTGCATTACCCAGAACTGGACACAAGGTTTATTATTCAAGGTCAGATGTGGCCAAAGGAGAATAGAACAGGACTGTGACGTCCCTCGATCTCGACACTAACCTCTTATAGATGCAGCCTAGAATCACATTGGCTTTTCTAGCTGTTGCATCACACTGTTAGCTCATGTTCACATCCTTAAATCCCTTTCACACGGATTGTTGTCATAGAATCATAGAATCAAAGAGTTGGAAGAGACCTCATGGGCCATCCAGTCCAACCCCTCTGCCAAGAAGCAGGAATATTGCATTCAAATCACCCCTGACAGATGGCCATCCAGCCTCTGTTTAAAAGCTTCCAAAGAAGGAGCCTCCACCACACTCCAGGCCAGAGAGTTCCACTGCTGAACGGCTCTCACAGTCAGGAAGTTCTTCCTCATGTTCAGATGGAATCTCCTCTCTTGTAGTTTGAAGCCATTGTTTCGCGTCCTAGTCTCCAGGGAAGCAGGAAACAAGCTTGCTCCCTCCTCCCTGTGGCTTCCTCTCACATATTTATACATGGCTATCATATCTCCCCCGGTGGCGCAGTGGGTTAAAGCACTGAGCTGCTGAGCTTGTTGATAGAAAGGTCGCAGGTTCGATTCCGGGGAGCGGCGTGAGCTTCCGCTGTCAGCCCTAGCTTCTGCCAACCTAGCAGTTCGAAAACATGCAAATGTGAGTAGATCAATAGGTACCAGCTCCAGCGGGAAGGTAACGGTGCTCCATGCAGTCATGCTGGCCACATGACCTTGGAGGTGTCTACGGACAACACTGGCTCTTCGGCTTAGAAATGGAGATGAGCACCACACCCCAGAGTCAGACATGACTGGACTTAATGTCAGGGGACTACCTTTACCTTTTTATCATATCTCCTCTCACCCTTCTTTTCTTCAGGGCAAACATGCCCAGCTCCTTAAGCAGCTCCTCATAGGGCTTGTTCTCCAGACCCTTGATCATTTTAGTCGCCCTCCTCTGGACACATTCCAGCTTGTCAATATCTCTCTTGAATTGTGGTGCCCAGAATTGGACACAATATTCCAGGTGGTCTAACCAAGGCAGAATAGAGCACGGGGAGCATGACTTCCCTAGATCTAGACACTATGCTCCTATTGATGCAGGCCAAAATCCCATTGGCTTTTTTTGCCGCCACATCACATTGTTGGCTCATGTTTAACTTGTTGTCCACGAGGACTCCAAGATCTTTTTCACACGTCACCCATTTTATACCTGTGGAGACTTCAATGAACCCAGAGCCAACATGGTGTCAATGTGCCCAGCCATGCAGCATTTTTGCACAAATTGCCTGGATTCTGTCGTGCCCAAATGACTATTTCTGCTGCCTCGTTTCCCAGACTTTTAGAAAGTTAGAGGCGAGCACAGTTTTGCATCCTTTTGATCAATAGCAATCTTTGTGATGATTAATGGGTCACACGGAGGGCTCTTAATGGAGGTGTGCACGCTGCATGCTTATCTTTAGCATTCCCTTGCAAATGATTTTATACAGGTTTAAATTATGGGTGTTTTAGCACGAGAGCTAATTTAATTGCTTTTACAAAACTTTGGGTATCATTAGAGGGTTTTTAAAAAAAACCTGTGTCTTGTTTTTAACCTTGTAAACTGCCTTGGGTTCCTTGTCAGGAGAAAGGGAGGACATAAATTGCATTAAGTCAAAGAAAAAGGAAGGAAGGAAGGAAGGAAGGAAGGGAAGGGAAGGGAGGGAGGGAGGGAGGGAGGGAGGAGGGAGGGAGGAAGGAAGGAAGGAAGGAAGGAAGGAAGGAAGAAAAGAAGGGAGGAAGGAAGAAAAGAAGGGAGGAAGGAAGGAAGGAATTCCATCCAGGCCTTGGTCCAAAACAATTGAGCCCCAAGTCCTGTGAATCCCACCACATGTCTTTGAGAAGCCAATTTTCCCTTCTGTTGCCACCACCACCACCACCACCACCACCACCACCACCACCACCATCACCACCACCACCAACAACAACTTTATACTTCATTCTTCCTTCCAAATTGTACCCTCCACAACAATTGTTCAGTACTGGGTTGTTGTAGGTTTTTTTCGGGCTATATGGCCATGTTCTAGAGGCATTCTCTCCTGACGTTTCGCCTGCATCTATGGCAAGCATCCTCAGAGGTAGTCACCCCACTGTCTTTCTTTCCTTCTTTCTCTCTTTCCTTCTCTTCCTCTTTATTTCCTTCTTTCTCTCCTTCTTTGCTCCCTCTTTCCTTCCTTCCCTTATTTTCTTTCCTTCTCTCCTTCCTTCCTTCTCTACCTCTTTCCTTTCTACCCCCTTTTCTTTTCCTTCTTCTTTCTTCTTTCTCTACCTCTTTCCTTCCTTTTTTCTTTCCCTCCCTCTTTCTCTCTTTCTTATTTTCTTTCTCCCCTTCCTTCCCTTCCCTCCCCTTTCCTTCCTTTTTTCAGTGTTGTCATTTAGTTTTTCATCATGTAGCTTTTTGGGGTTTTTTAAAGTCCTTTTCATGGTTTTTTTTTGGGGGGGGGATTTTATGAGTGATGGTCACTCGTTGGTCTGTTAGGGATGTAGTGTCCAAATTTCATGTCAATTCATCGAGTGGTTTTTGAGTTATGTTAATCCCACAAACGAACATTACATTTTTATTTATATAGATTGTATAGCACTGAATTTTTCTGTTAGTTGTTCTGAGCCCCTCCACGGAGGTAGAGAAGAACGAAATACAAAAATTCTAAATAAATAAATAAATAAATCATCACCAACTTAATTTATTCTTCATTCTTCCTTCCGAATTGGAACCAAACGCAGCTTCCATTAAAAACAAAGTACCGTACGGTCAGAGACATACAGAAGTTGATATTCAAAGAGAAATCAAACTATCCAGAGTATTATAGCAATTTAAACATCCCTCTAAAATGGAGAAAGTGGCATTTGAAATGGCTCAATAAAAACAATCACGCTGCCTCTAAAGCCCGTCGTTTGGTTTTCTGAAAGCTTTTGGCTCTGAAATACTGAGCTGATTAGAGAGAATATAATAAGCCATTGAACTTTTCTTCTCCTTGGGTTGTTGTAGGTTTTTCGGGCTATATGGCCATGTTCTAGAAGCATTCTCTCCTGATGTTTCGCCTGCATCTATGGCAAGCATCGTCACAACCTCTGAGGATGCTTGCCACAGATGCAGGTGGAACGTCAGGAGAGAATGCTTCTAGAACATTGCCATATTGCCTGAAAAACCTACAACAAGCCAGTGATTCCAGCCATGAAAGCCTCCGACAAGACATTTCTTCTCCTTTTCTGCTTAAGTAGCTGAGGGGGAAAAAGAAGGGGCCTGAGGCTGTTAGGAATGGTGGGAGCTGAAGTCCAAAACACTTGGAGAGGCCGAAGTTGACCCATGTCTGACATATACTGTACTTCTTTAGGAAGAGGTATCAGTTCGAAAACATGCAAATTGTGACAGCGCGAGTGGCACCACCTATATGTAGAAGTTTAATTTGCAAAGGTTGAAACTGTGTAACATGCCCCAACTTGTCTGTTTTCTCTGTAAACGTATAGTTGGATTGATTGGTTATTTATAGCTGTCAATCAATGTCGTTTGCACCAGTTGAATTGCTCCCTCAGCTCAATTGTTTGGTCCCACCTTTTCCTAGAAGAGGAGGGCAGTGTTTCCTTCTTCATTCTACCATCAGACAGCTTTATAGACGGACATGAGAAAGACTTGGCTCTAAAGCCCTTGTTTAATCTATCTCTCATCACCAATTCTCAGGTTTTTACCCTTGAGACTCACACTTCATGCCCAGATCTTCCTGGACGACGTTGAGGAGTCTCAAGCGCCTTCAAACCAGTCCTTTGGCACCAGAGGAAGACTTTGTGTCTTCCAATATAGGCCATTTGGACTGGGGTTGTGGATTGCTCAGGCATTCACAGCCACAGAGAAAGAGGGAACTTGGAAAGCTTCTCAGCTGCAAAACTCCTTGGACACAAGGCTTCAGAGACTGTAACGTATATTTTCGTTATCCCTGTTGAAACATCAAGTTTAATTTCTAAGAAAGATAACTCATCATGAACAATAAATACCATTTCGAGTTATCTGTTGTGTCTTGGTCCTTGGGAGTTCCAGTTTCCTAAAGGAGGGCAAGAAGCAATCCTCTGGGGAGAAATGTCACGTCCATGTTTCTTTCACTAAGATCTATAGACCCCAGGCGCGATGGCACACAAATGTGAGTAGATCAATAGGTACCGCTTTGGTGGGAAGGTAATGGCGCTCCATGTAGTCTTGCCAGCCACATGACCTTGGAGATGTCTATGGACAACGCTGGTTCTTTGGCTTAGAAATGGAGATGAGCACCACCCCCCAGAGTCGGACACGACTGGACTTAATGTCAGGCTAAAAGCTTTACCCCCCCTACCTTTGGGACTATTACCAAGTCTCCCTTCCCATTGGCGTAGCAGTCTCCATTTGCCCCACCCCAAAGCCCCCCATTAGTCCGGACCCCCGCATGTTGCATGCCACTCACGTGCTGCCACTGGTCAATGATGAGAGGGCGGTAGCGCAGGAAGAACTTGAGTGGGAAGGAGTCGGGGTCCGGCCAGGAGGAGGGGTACTGCCAGGTCACTTGCAGGCGCCGGGGGTTGTGGGCGATGGGCTTGGCCACCACGCTCTCCGGAGGGTCCGGCTTTACTGTTCAAAGAAACAAGACACGGAAGAAAAGGGCGGGAGCAGAGGGGAGAGGAAAGGAGTCTTGGTGAGAGACGTGGTTGACTTTCGACACTTCGCGGGCATGCAAAATGCTATCATGCTTGAAATCCCTTTCAATTCATGTTTTGGTTCAGCTATGCATACATCTTCACTGTATTTATTTATTATTTACTAGTTGTCCCCTGCCACGCATTGCTGTGGCCCAGTCTGTGTATATTTATTTATTTTATTTACTTTGCTTATATACCGCTGTTCTCAGCCCAGGGGCGACTCACAGCAGTGTACAACATAGAAAAAACAGGTTCAAGACACAATCTAAAATATCCACAGTCAAGCATTACACAAAAACATCATCATCAAAAAACATCATAAATTACTACAAAAGCCATTCCACGTCGTCTCATCGTCCAAACCACACACCAATTTCATTTTCCGTTGTTCCATTCCTATCGTTAATTACCAATCATTGCACTTCTTGTTCGAACGCCTTCTTGAACAGCCAAGTCTTTAATTTCCTGCGGAATATCATCAAGGAAGGAGCCAGTCTGATGTCCACGGGAAGGGTGTTCCATAGCCGAGGAGCCACCACTGAGAAGGCCCTATCTCTCGTCCCCGCCAGCCGTGCCTGTGAGGCAGGCGGGATCGAGAGCAGGGCCTCCCCGGAAGATCTCAAAGTCCTGGTGGGCTCGAGATGCGGTCGGATAGGTATCTTGGGCTGGAACCGTTTACGGCTTTATAGGCCAACGCCAGCACCTTGAATTGAGCCCGGTAGCAAATCGGCAGCCAGTGGAGCTGGTACAAGGGGGTTGTATGCTCCCTGCGTCCCGCTCCTGTTAGTATCATGGCTGCCGCACGTTGGACCAATTGAAGCTTCCAGGCTGTCTTCAAGGGCAACCCCACGTAGAGAGCGTTGCAGTAGTCTAAACGGGATGTAACCAGAGCGTGGTTGTGTTGTGTGTGTGTATATTTGTGATTATTTGTGTATATATGTGTGTTTGCGTATATATATATGTGTGTATATCCATGTGTTTTGAGACCCCCGAGATAGGCCAAGGGATTGGGGATGTCTATGCATCTAAGCTTTGCAGTCCCTTTTTGTGCTTGGAGGAGAATAAACATCAGACGATACCAAAAGGGCCTTGGGGTCCTAATCCAAGGCTGGGGAATCCATAAATCCAACAAGAAAACATAAAAATGCAGCTTCATAGATTCTTGCTTCCAAAAAAAGGAGGAGGAGGTTGTCCAGCCAAGGATTCCCAAATTCAGCTGAGGGTCAGAGGTCGTGTGGAGCACCAGGGTGGAAAGAGGTTTGGGCCAACTCAGAGGAGGCTTGGGAAGAGGCTCAATGTCTTTTCTCAGCTGTTTGCTCTGCAGATGTTTGCTCCGGACAGCATGTTTTCCCTTCTTCTTTTGGTGTCAATCCCTTCCCTGTTGCGCAAAACAGAACAGCTGGAACTCTTCATAGAAGTAGTGGGAACAGGTGACTTTGCACCCAGCTTGGGAATTTTTTCATTCCTCCGGACTCCATTTCCCAGCATTCCTCATCATTCAGAGCTTCTGGGAAGTGCGATTCAGCAACATCTGGAGAGCTTCATAGAATCATAGAATCAAAGAATGGTAAAAATATCAAAATATCCTGGCATCCCCTGAGCAACGTCCTTGCAGATAGCCAATTCTCTCACACCAGAAGTGACTTGCAGTTTCTCAAGTCGCTCCTGACACACACAAAAAATGAACTTTTGGTGTAGATTTCTGCATGGGAATAATATTTTCATTGCAATATATATGTATAGTGTTTCTTAGTGTTTCTTACATATCTGGGGAGAGCGTGGGCGAGCTCCCTCTGTCAGCTCCAGCTTCTCATGCGGGGACATGAGAGAAGCCTCCCAGAAGAATGGTAAAAATATCAAAATATCCTGGCATCCTCCTTCCCCTTCCTTCCTTCCTTCCTTCCTTCCTTCCTTCCTTCCTTCCTTCCTTCCTTCCTTCCTTTCTCTTCTTCTGTCTACCTACCTAACTACCAAGGAACTACCTCTCTCTTTCTCTCCCTCAAGAGAACAACCTAGTTTTGTCTCTCTCTTTTCACCCTATCTCATTCTATCTATTCTTTCCTCCTGGAATTCTTTCTTTCTTCCTTCCTTCCTTCTTTCCTTCTTTCCTTCTTTCCTTCTGTCTACCAACCGTACGTTTCCTCTTCCCATTCCTTACTCTCTTGTTCACTCAGTGCCTTCAGTCCTTCCGGCAGTCCTGCCTTCTTCCTTCTTTCCTTCCTTCCTTTTCCTATCCCTTTTCCTTTCTTTCTTTTCTCTTCCTTCTTTTCCTTCCTTCCTTCCTTCCTTCCTTCCTTCCTTCCTTCCTTCCTTCCCCTTTCTTTTCTTTTCCTTTCTTTCCTTCCTCCTTCCCCTTCCTTCCTTCCTTCCTTCCATCCATCTTCCCCTTCCCCCTTTCCCTTCCGTCTTAACTTCTTTCCTTCCTCTCCCTTTTCTTCCTACCTGGGAAATTTATTGTGGCATTAACCTAAACTGGTTGCAATCATTCTGGGTAAATGTCTCATGTTATCTTTCATCAAGACGATTGTTCTGTCTCTCTCCTTTTTATCAGACGTTTGCATAAATCCACTGGAAACCGTTTGTTATTCAGGTGGTTGCAGGAGGTGGGGAAGGATGATTACTTAGATGACACAATCACATTGTGATCTTGCAAAAAGATCACACACAGATACACAAGGCATATATATTCACTGTCCTGTACACAGTGCAACAAAGCGGGAGACGTGCCTCGGAGTGTTATCTGCACTGTCAAATTAATGCAGTTTGATGCCACTTTAACTGCAGTGAAATCCTGGGAGTTGTAGTTTGGTGAGCTACAGCAAGGAGGCTTTGAAGACATAGAAGGGTGGAAATATGTCAGCAATATTGGAGGCATTTTATTATATGGGGTCGTTTTGCAGAAAGATCGGGAAACATTGGGTTCCAAATACATGTGATCTTCGAAGACACTGTGTGGGTTCAACTTAAGATGAGCCTGGAATTGTATTTGTTGGGAAGGCTGGATGATGATTGAGAAATAAAGTTTGGGAGAATGCTGCAATATATGATAACAGCTGCAAGAATGGGAAATGCCCAGAGATGGAAGGAACCAGTTACCCCAAGACTTCTTAAACTGGTGTTAAACTGTTTTAACCCTGCAATGTGAGCTCCCCAAAAGGCCGACACTAAGGCATCCTAAACCCATTTGCTTTGCAAATAGAATCGAAATGTTTAGATATTTCTTTTAGGAGATTATGGGTGTATCTGTACTGTTGGATTTATGCAGTTTGACACCGCTTGAACTGCCATGATCCAATAGTATAGAATCCAGGCAGACAAAGATTGTTGAGACAGAGGTAACTAAAGATCTTTAAAAATTATAGCTCCCGTAATTCCATAGCACTGAGCTGTGGCATTTAAAGTGGGGTCAAACTGCATTAATTCTACAGTGTAGAAAAGCCCATTAATCACTTAGATGAAGGGCTAGAAGGCATGATCATCAAGTTTGCAGATGACACCAAATTGGGAGGGAGAGCCAATACCCTAGAGGACAGGAGCAGGATTCAAAACGATCTTGACAGATTAGAGAGATGATTGGCCAAAACTAACAAAATGAAGTTCAACAGGGACAAATGCAAGATACTCCACTTAGGCAGAAAAAAATGAAAATGCAAAGATACAGAATGGGGGACGATGATGCCTGGCTTGAGAGCAGTACGTGTGAAAAAGATCTTGGAGTCCTCGTGGACAACAAGTTAAACATGAGCCAACAATGTGATGTGGCGGCAAAAAAAGCCAATGGGATTTTGGCCTGCATCAATAGGAGCCTAGTGTCTAGATCTAGGGAAGTCATGCTCCCCATGATCTATTCTGCTTTGGTTAGACCACATCCGGGATATTGTGTCCAATTCTGGGCACCGCATTTCAAGAGAGATATTGACAAGCTGGAATGTGTCCAGAGGAGGACGACTAAAATGATCAAGGGTCTGGAGAACAAGCCCTATGAGGAGCGGCTTAAGGAGCTGGGCATGTTTAGCCTGAAGAAGAGAAGGATGAGAGGAGATATGGTGATAGCCATGTATAAATATGTGAGAGGAGGCCACAGGGAGGAGGGAGCAAGCTTGTTTTCTGCTTCCCTGGAGACTAGGACACAATGGAACAATGGCTTCAAACTACAAGAGAGGAGATTCCATCTGAACATGAGGAAGAACTTCCTGACTGTGAGAGCCGTTCAGCAGTGGAACTCTCTGCCCCGGAGTGTAGTGGAGGCTCCTTCTTTGAAAGCTTTTAAACAGAGGCTGGATGGCCATCTGTCAGGGGTGATTTGAATGCAACATTCCTGCTTCTTGGCAGAATGGGGTTGGACTGGATGGCCCAGGAGGTCTCTTCCAACTCTTTGATTCTATAATTCTATGTTCTCCTTTCAGATGAAGATGACCTCTGTTGCTTGTGACTTTGCAACTGTTTCTACATAACACATAAATGAGATACTTTTTTGCTAATGAAGGAGAAAAGATACCTGCAAATCCCATGGGCTGCTAACAGAGCAATAAATGGATCCTATAGGAAACAAAGTCTAATTCTCTCTAGACGCCACGACAACTAAACTGCCCTGGCTTTGCAAATCTGAGCCATTAAATCGATAATAGGCATTGGCATCATCATCATCACTATCACATGGATTAACGCTTTCTTGCCAGGCCTCCTTCTGGACTTTGAGTGTCCTTAAGGAACGTATTTCCTGATTATAATACTAGATATGGAAAGGATATTCAAAAGTATTCCAAAAATTCATTTCTCGAATGTTGAAAAAAAAAAAAAACGGAGGAAAAGAAAAGTAGACCGATGGCAAACTCTGTGGAAAATTCGCACTTGGTTCTATTGTGCAGAAAGCGGCATTTCCTGCACAAGAAACACTATACATATACATTGCAGTGAAAATATTATTCCTAT